AGAACCAGGGATTGAACTCAGGTCCTTGCACTTGCCAGGGAAGCATTTATTCTACTGAGCCATCTCCCCAGCCCCGGGGCCCTTCCCCTCTTGAGACAGGGTCTTGATATGTAGTTTAGGCTGGCCTTGAACTCACTATAGCTCAGGCTGGCCTGAAACTTGCAGTGGTCCTCCTACCTCAGCCTCCCAAGTGCTGGGATTATAGGTATGTGGCACTAAGCTTTGAACCAATTCTTCTTTTTTAAAAATTCCTTTATGATTTTTATTTTTTGGTGTTTTGACATAGGGTCTTGCTTTGTAGTTCAAGCTGGCCTTGAACCTGGTGTGACTCTCTTGTGTCAGCCTCCCAAATGCTAGAATTACAGCCATGTGCCACCAGGCCTGGCCACTAATTCCTGACAAGTGGTAGTTCCTTGAAGTTTACCTACAATGTGTAATCTTAAATTGTATTAGCATATTGTATGTATCCTGTTAAAGTAGAAGAGATTCATCTGTCTTGCACTTTGACCAAGTCTTTTACCCTGAATAATTTTGAAATGTCCTTTCAACAGTCAATCAGAAAATAGTAGCCTTGAATTAAGATCTTCCACATTTTGACACTATTATGTCAGAAATGACATTCTTGAATATGGCTACCATTTCATCAGAGACAGCATAGGAGGGAGGGCTTAGATTTTTTATCATTGGCAACACACCATTAGTTGTTTTGCTTGAAATGGTAGCCTCATTTTTCATTTTTAAGGAAATCTGTGTCCAGCACCCAGGTCTGAATGATCTGTTTTTCTTTCAAATGAAAATGGTCTTCTATGAAAAAGTTGCTGTGTCATCTTACAGCTCATGCACACACGAGTTTTTCTTCCAGACAGCCCTGAGAAGTTTTAAGTAACCTGTCAAGTATCATTCAGCAAGAGGCAGAGCTGAGTTTCAGGCTCCTAGACTAGGGTCCGCCCTCCACATAGTGCTTTGCACTGCCCTCTTTTTTTTTAAATTTAATTTATGTATTTGGTACAGGATCTCACTATGCAGCTCAGATATGTAGTGATTCTCCTGTTTTCATCCT